GCGCCTCGGCTGGCGTCATCTCTACCGTCCTCCCCCCTTGGCTCCCCCTTACAAGCAGACGTCGGGGGGGTCGACCTCCATCGGTAGGCCCGGCGCGCCGGTCGAGAGGACCCACATCTGCTTGTACCTGCGAGCCAAGGCGCGTCGACCCTCAAGATGTCACCCCTCAAGGCGCGTCCATGGGAGCAGGCTGGGAGTGAGAATGGGAGCAGGGGCGTGAGAATGGCAGGGAGCAGAGGCGTGGTGTGCGAAGGCGCGCGTGCGCGCGCACTTGTCAAAAACCTGGCCCCACGCCACATTCTCGAGGTTGGCTTGGCAGTAGAAGCCGCCTTTCCCTCCGGCCGCGATCAGCGCCTCCGTGAGCGGGTTCTGGCACGGCTGCACCTCCACCGCGCCGAGCGACACGAGCATGCCCTCGTACTGCTCAGCGTGCTCAGTGCAGCCCTGGAGGTGGCGTCGGAGACGGTGGTGGGTGGGGTGGGGTGGGGAGGGGTGGGGTGGGGGTGGGGGGGTGGGGGTGGAGGCGGAGAGGGAGGCAGGGCACCTGGAAGTCGTCTGTCGAGAGCTCGATTGGCGCGGGGAGCGTTGCGGCCGAGCCGGTCTTGGTGGCGAAGCATTCGACGAGCTCGGTGACGCCATACACCTCGCGCACCACGCCCTTGACCGTCAGCTCGTCGCCCCTCATGTGCTTGTGGTCCTCGGCGAAGACCTCGATGCCCGCGAACGCCGTCGTGCCGTCGGTCATCTGCATGTAGTAGTACGCGGAGGCGTACGCGTCCTTCTGAGTACCGACAGCGGTGACGACGCCGGAGATCGACACATACTCCCCAGCCTTGGCCGAGGGGTACGCCATCCCGCCCTTTAGCGAGCAGTACTCCGAGTCGCCCGTCTCGGTGGCGAAGTCGCCCTGGATGGCGCTGATGGCGTAGGTGGTGGCTTGGGTGGTCGCGGCCTTGCCGGCACACTCGGTAGCGGACGTGGACGTGTGGATGTCCTTCGCATGGAGGTCTGTGTAGCCGGCGTCGGTTAGCATGATCTCGTCAAACGGCTTTTGGGGCAAAAAGCCGGGCAAAGGTGAAAACATGAGGTTGCGGTCGGTCGCGCCGGTCCCGTGGTCCGGCACCTGTTTAGGGGGCGCGTGGGGTGAGAGGGCGATGCGATTCCATCATGTGTGCAAATGTGTGCACCGACGCAGAGAGCGACCCGGCCACGAGGGTCGCCAAAGCAAACCAGCGTATGTAGAGTGTCATCGATGCACCTGCGACGACCACGGTGCAGCTATATGCGCATTGCGGAGGTGTACGGGGTCTGGAATGAGAGGGAAGGGGGCGGGGGACAAAGTCGATGGGCGGCGGCGACGGGGGGGGGGATGCGGGAAGCGGGCTCAAGAGGACACGCGCGGCAGCTGGCTTGCAGAGGAGGGGGCGGTAGGACGCTCGCCAACGAAGGGCTGATGGAGGTAACTGACGGCAGAGAAGGCGGCGTGGCAGAGGAGGAGGCGGACAGGGGGAGGCGGTGGTCCCTAAAGGGCGGCGGCGGCGGCGGAGGGCGGCGGCGGTAAGGGCAGCGGAGGCTGCGGTACGAGCGGCGGCGGGGGCGCGGGCGGCGTCCGGGCGGCTGCAGCGGTGGCGGTGAGGAGGGATGGGGGAGGGCGGCGGCGGCGAGGGCGGCGGCGAGGGCGGCGGCGAGGGCGGCGGCGGCGGCGGTGGTGGCGGTGGCGGCGGTGGCGGCGGTGGCGGCGGTGGCGGCGGCGTCGACGGTGGCGGCGATGACGGCGACAGTGCTGACGGTGGCGGCGATGACGGCGGCGTGAGAGGGAATCGGTGAGGGCGGCGGGCGGCGAGAGAGGCGGCGAGAGCGGCGGCGGTGCTGGCGGCATCGATATGACGGCGTTGGCGATGACGGCGGCGGCGTCAATAGAGGCGGTGATGACGGCGGCGATGACGGCGGCCGTGCTGACAGTGGTGGCGTCGACGGTGCCAGACCTTCACGAGCTGAGATCCCCTCGATGCGGGGACGAGCCCGAGAAACGCCGCGTAGGCGTACTCGTGTTAAGGTGGCAGCATCGAACGCCGGGCCGACTGGAGCGGCGATGACAGCGGTGCACTCTGCGAAGAGGCGTCGTCGACAGAAGAGCGAAGCTCTCGTAGTGGGAAGATGAGCGCAAGGCCGAAGCATTGCGCGCGCCGCCGATGATGACGCCGCCCCCATTTTGCGCCGGGGATGTGTGACAGTGGCGGGGGGGGTGTAGGCGCTGCTTGCTGGCGTTTGTGCGTCGGTGGGAGGGCGTGTGGTCTACGAGTGGAGGGGGCGCAGGCGCCCACGAAGCAGCGGTCGCACCTGTGAGTGGGATGGGAGCGGGGGTCGCTTCTCGCTGGCCAGCGGAGGGGCAGGGGCGAGGGCGAGGGCGGAAAGCAGAGGATCGCCTTGGACACTCGTCGGGCTTGATGTCAATAGCCAAGCTCGCCCTACGAACTCAGGCGGGCTTGCAGCTGTGAATGATAGCCAAGCTCGGCCCTACGAACTCAGGCGGGCTTGCAGCTGTGAATGATAGCCAAGCTCGGCCCTACGAACTCAGGCGGGCTTGCAGCTGTGAATGATAGCCAAGCTCGGCCCTACGAACTCAGGCGGGCTTGCAGCTGTGAATGATAGCCAAGCTCGGCCCTACGAACTCAGGCGGGCTTGCAGCTGTGAATGATAGCCAAGCTCGGCCCTACGAACTCAGGCGGGCTTGCAGCTGTGAATGATAGCCAAGCTCGGCCCTACGAACTCAGGCGGGCTTGCAGCTGTGAATGATAGCCAAGCTCGGCCCTACGAACTCAGGCGGGCTTGCAGCTGTGAATGATAGCCAAGCTCGGCCCTACGAACTCAGGCGGGCTTGCAGCTGTGAATGATAGCCAAGCTCGGCCCTACGAACTCAGGCGGGCTTGCAGCTGTGAATGATAGCCAAGCTCGGCCCTACGAACTCAGGCGGGCTTGCAGCTGTGAATGATAGCCAAGCTCGGCCCTACGAACTCAGGCGGCGGGCTTGCAGCTGTGAATGATAGCAAAGGCTCGGCCCTACGAACTCAGGCGGGCTTGCAGCTGTGAATGATAGCAAAGGCTCGGCCCTACGAACTCAGGCGGCCTTGCAGCTGTGAATGATAGCAAAGCCTCTGCTTGGCCCCACCCGAGTTCCGGCACCGCTTCCAGGCCCCAGCCAGACCCCGGCCAACCCCGCCTCGACGACGCCTCGACGGCAATCTCTGATTCTCTGATGGCGCGTCTCCCGACGCGTTTCCTCCTCCTCCAGACGGTGGTGGTGTCTCTCGCCCGTGCGCGCCAGCTCGTCACGCTGAGCGAGTTCGCAAAAGTGGCGCTCCTCACGCCGACGACGCTGCGGGCCGCGTCGCTCTCCGTCGCCTGCCCGCTCGTATGCTCGGCAGCCGGCGTGGTGGGGAACGACTTTGACCCGGCGCTCCTCTCGCTCATCATCGCCGTCCCCAGTTCCATCTCCATCAACGCCGCGTACACGCGCCGCGAGCGCGCGCTGACCTGCCTCGCACGCTTCCGCTCCGCGACGTACGCGCTGCACCACTCGATCCAGCGGTGGGGGCGGCCGGCGGACCGCTCGCGCATCCAGCGCGAGAATGCGGCGCTGTATGAGAGCCTCTGCGTCGGCCTCGAGTCTGGCGGCGACGACATCATGTTTCGCGACGTCTTCCGACATCTCGAGGAGATCGGCGAGGTGTGCGAGAGCGTGCGACTAAGCCCGCGGCGAGCCGAGGACGCGCGCGACTTCATGCCCGCGCTGAGCACGCTGCTGCTGTCGGACGAGAGGATGCTCTGGCAGACAATCGACGAGCTTCGGATGCTCTCCTCGACCGCCACGCCCTACCTGCTGCGCGGCTTCACCGTCGGAGGCGCAACCGCCCTTCTCCTCCTCCTCCTCCACCACCATTGACATGCAGCGTGGTCACACCACCACCCTCCACCCTCCACCCTCCACCACCCTCCACCACACTCCACCACCCTCCACCACCACGTCCAGGCGCCACCCTCTTCCCGGTCCTCTTCGGTCCGTACGTCGCCAACGCCGTCGGCGCCGGCAGCGTGCTCGACACGTGGTCAGCGTACCTCGTCTCGTTCCTGCTCGCCGTGACGATCGGCTCGCTCGTCTCGATCCAGGAGGCGCTAGAGGATTGCTTCGACGGCGACGCGCGCCTCGATGACATTGCTTTGCCGCCGTTCGCGCCGCCGGGCTTCTTGCTCTGGCGGAGCGACATGTCGCGCGAGAACAGGGACTTGGTCAACCCGCCGGGAGGGTGGTAGGCGTATCTGGAAAAAGCCAAATCCAATAGCCACACGACGCGTCGCCTCGCCGGTTTCACGCTTTCACACCCGTCTGAGGTCTGTGCAGCGGTCACCACACACTCCACACACCGCACGCAAAACAAAAACGTACATCTCGGATCGAGAAACGTAGGAGTCACCGCTTGCTCGCGAGAGCTCGACGGTGTAGATCTGATATCGGAGCGCAAACGGCGAACCGACGCTCGGAGGCAGAGAGTTCGACCGATTGGTGACGCCACCGCAACCGCATTGCAGCTGCACGTTGCACGCACCACATTCATCCGGCCAAGGGGCGTGCAAGTCGGCTGCCGAGTCGTCCAAGCACGCCCTCGGACCGGCGAGTCGCATGGACTCAGCGCGCGTAAGCTAGGCTCCGGCAAAGGCGTCGCTACCAGATTTCTGCTTGCGCACGCAGCGGCGGAGCTGCGCGGGGACAGGCGCGCGGATGCCGTGAGCAGAAATAGAGCGGATGCCGAGCCGCCCAATAGAGCGAGGGTTGCAGCAACCATGCCTCGGCCCGCGTCTCGGCTAGAGCTCACCCTCTCCAGGCAAGGGTCGCAGCAGCCGCCAGCCTTGTTTGACCAGTTCTGCAGGCGCGCCGCCTGTGGGAGGGCCCATGAGGGAATCTCGGGCGACAATGCAGCAGTAGGGAGTGCTGGCGGGCACGGTGAATGCGGCGAGGGAAGGAGAAATGTGAGCGGGTACGCAATGCAGCAGAGGTGCGCACACGTTGGGCCCAGCGCGGCGAGGTTTCTCACTTCCCGCCTTCGCCGCCGCGCGTGCAGAAGTGAAGAAGCTCTCGCCCGAGCGCAGCGACGCGACGTACACCGCCGACGGCCGGGGCAGATTCGGGCACGAGCCGCTGTGCATCAAGACCGGAAAGTGAGAACGCCGCGCAGCGTAGGGTGTGAGAAACGTGCTAAGGTTGGGAGCGAGCAAAGGTTGGGAGCGAGCAAAGGTTTGTTGTGAAGAGCTGGGGCGCGCCACCCAAGAGCCTATAGGTAGGTGCGGATCGGCAAGAGCGCAATCGATCTTTTTGCCCTCTATCACCTTGGGTTGTAAGAACTTGAAACACACCACGCAGGGGCACAGCAAGCACGGATAGCCGTTGAGGAGAAAGGCGGACTCAGGGCCGGTGCTTTGACGCAGTATATTCGGTTACTCGATCGTGTTTGACGACGTCAAACACTGTTTGACGTCGTCGTCAAACACAAGTGGAGAATGGCCGTAGCTCCTCTCCACGAGCGATTGAGAGGACGTACCAAGTATCGATTCTGTATAGAATTGCGAGGCGCACACGCTGGTGCAGGCGGCGAGTCGTCGATCCGACTCGTTCCGACGTGAAGTCGCCGTGAAGGGTGGGAAAACAGGGCGATTTTGCCACATTTTGCCCTCTCGAGCGATCTTCTCGCGTCGGCTAGCGCGCGGGCCAGGATGGGCGAGCCGACCCCGCCACGCTGGACGGGCCAGCGGCTGGCACGCGCCGGCCACCCCGGCGGCGCGGCGGCCTCATCGCGCTCGTCGTCTGCGAGGCCACCGCTCGGCGTCGCCGCGTGCGACGGCGATCGCGCTTGGCTGTGAGGTGGGACGGCGGCATGGTGCGCGCGGGCGTGGGGGTGGTGCGGGATGCGCGTGCCAGCAAGCCTAGTTTCACCTCCCCAACCCCGCAGGCGCGCCGACGTGCTGCCCGAGCGCGTTTGGAGGCAGCAGCAGCTCCTCGCGAGGCGCCTTCGGAGGGGTGCCACACCCCTTTCCCAGCCGCGCGCGAGTTGAGCTCCGATTTGCGCTCTGTTTCGCACACGCCCGACGCTAGTAGGTGAGGATCGACCATCCTCCGCAAGCAGGGCTTCGTCGGGCGCGTCTTCGTCGAGCGGTGGAGCATCTCCCATGCTCCCCCCCGCGCCCTCCTCGCAGCCCGCCCGCGGCCGACACCGACGCCCTCACGGACTCACCCTAGTCGTAGGTGCGGGTTTTTTGCGTGGCCCCCGTCGATACGGGGCGCTGGGCGATGGCTGGGCTTGTCGCCGGGCGAGCTGGCCCCTCAGTCGGCCGCGGAGCGGAGGTGCGAAATCGAGGCGGCGCGGCCCCTACGCGCAGCCTGTCCGGCCGGCGCGCGCATGGTTCCGTAGCCCGTCTAGTGCCTCACTGACCGACTCCAGCGCCACGGTGTACGTGGCCGGTGTGGTACTGGGGCTGGGCAGCCTTGGGGCCGGCGGAGACCGCCGTCTAGCGGTCGCACTAGTCTCTTTTCGTTGTTTGACCTGTTTGTTTGACGGTTGTTTGACCATACTTTGAGCCTTAATTATTAATTCGGGTTTGGGTCTCTGAGGTCGCTACTAGCGTCCGTAACTTGCCACAAGCATGCTTTACAAAAGTCCAGCGGAGGGAGACTCTCAGAACGGCCGTCCGCGCGCGCTGTGAACAGCGCCGTGGTCAAACACTGTTCAACGTCGTTGAACACGTAGCGAAAGAGAGACCGTATTGTACTTCGAGGTAGTATGAACTCAGAACGGCCCCCCGAGAGCGCCTCTTCGACGCCCACGGGTCCCAGGGGGTCGGAGGGGTTGCGAGAGGGCCTGGACTATTTTTTGTTTGAATCCCGGGGGCCGTTCGAACATATAACGTGCGTTCCATGCCCGCTGCAGTCAGAGCGCTGGCGGAGGCGCGGCAAAAGGCTGAGTCCGGCGGGTCCGCCCTTGCCTCGCCATCGACGGTGTCCTCTGTGTCGGACATTAAGGGGTATGACATCGACAGCTCCGAGCGCGACGAGAAGACGAGGGCTCTTAAGGAGAAGATTGCGTCGGCGCTCGACCGCGCGCGCGCTCTCAAGACGGACCAGGCCTCCCTACCAGGCAGCCCGCGCGAGGATGGGGTGCCGCTGCTTGAGTCGGGGCACCACGAGGACGTCGATGAGCGGGTGCATGAAGCCAAACTACGGATTTGACACTGCACATCCGGGGGAGGCAGGGGGTGGAAGCACGAGGCCCATGTCGGGGCGGCCAGTGTCCATGCGGCTCTTGAACTTGATCGTTGATGAATGTTGCTCCTCATCGTGGTCTGTCTATGTCTCCGGGGAGATTCTGTCTCTCTCACTCTCCCAAACTACCTTCCTCTGATCAACTGTGTATCTGTGGCGTGAGCGCCATGTAGAAGTTGATCAGTCCATCGATGATCGTCGAAAGGCAACCTCGCAGGGCTTAATTAAGCGGGCTGCCTGCTGTCTTCGTCCTCCTCTCATACCTTACCTTGTGCAACTCACGTACAGTAGCGACGCGCAAAATGGGGCGCAATAGTACAGCCGCCCCGCAAGAGGTGCTGCGGGGCCGCGCGGGGAGCAAAATCACCGATGGAGAGGCACATGCAGCCGCGGCCTCGCGGGGCACGCCGCGTCGCTCGCGGTTGGTGACAGCAGCGTCGCTCGCCCCCACAGCGAAGGCAGCGCGCTGAGCGGCGCGCGGCCCGTGCAGCGCCGTCGCCCGCCTCAGTCGCCGGAGAGGTTCTTGAGGAAGATTGAGCAGTGCGAGCAGAGCATCTGCAGCATGCGCTCGTCGTCCCTGTGGAAGCCCGACGGGTCGGGCTGCCCGTCGGCGCCCGTCTTGTTGACGAGCTCCACCAGCCCCACCACCGCGCCGTCGTCCCCAAACACCGGTCCGATGAGCAGCGAGCGCATCTCGTACCCACGCAGCCGGTACACCTAGGAGTACCCGTTACCCGAGATTACCCGAGATCGCATCTCGTACCCCGCAGCCGGTACACCTCGGATGGTTCAGAGCATGCGAGATCACCCGCGATCACCCGCGATCGCCCGAGATCGCCCGAGATCACCCGAGATCACCCGCGATCACCCGCGATCGCCCGAGATCGCCCGCGATCGCCCGAGATCGCCCGAGATCACCCGCGATCGCCCGCGATCGCCCGAGATCGCCCGAGATCACCCGAGATCGCCCGAGATCACCCTAGAGTGCACCTCGTACGAGCAGAGCGGATGCCTCCGCACGTCGACGACGTTGAGCATCTCGCCTAATCTCGGGCAATCTCGGGCGATCTCGGGCGATCTCGGCTCATCTCCCGCCCGCAGACGCGGGACTGTCTCGCCGGTAGTCAGGACGTGGTGGCAATCTCGGCTAATCTCGGCAATCTCGGCTAATCTCGCCGGTAGTCAGGACGTGGTGGCGCGTGCCGCCCACGCGTACGGTGATTCGCACCTGCAGTTGAACGTGCGTCGGCTCGCGCCTGCTCGTCCTCAGTGGCTGCCGCCCGTCGGCACGGGGCGTGCTGTGCCCAGCCTTCTTCCCCCCGCGCCGGCCGGGGAGAGCCCCACTGTACTGCGCCACCCCGCGCGCCTGAGCTGTGAGCTGTGTGGCCGTCCTCGCATTCGCCTTCCTGGGACCCAGCGCTGGCTTCTGACTGTCGTTGCTGTCTATCCCTGTCTCGACTGTCTGGGCTTGTGCGTCCTGGGTCCCGGGGTTGTGTTTTTGTGTGAGCTGTGTGAGCTGTGCGCCCAGCGGTCCGGGGCCGCGTGAGGCTGTGCGTGTGCGCCCGTCCTCCCTGCTGGCGATGCGCGCCTCGTCCGGCATGGATGAGCTAGTCACGACTCGGTCCGTTCACAGCTGTAGCTAGTCCATTCACAGCTGTAGCTAGTCACCACTCTGTCCGTTCACACGTGAGAGGTCCCACCGACGCGCGCCTCGTCCGAGAGGATCGCACCACTCTCGGGTCCTCTCGGCTTCTCTCGGGCACTCTCGGCTACTCTCGGCTACTCTCGCGTACTCTCGCGTACTCTCGGGTCCTCTCGAGTCCTCTCGGGTCCTCTCGGGTCCTCTCGGGCTCACCATGAGTGATTTCGGGTCCTCTCGGGTCCTCTCGGGTCCTCTCGGGTCCTCTCGCGCCTCGTCCGAGAGGATCGCGCTCCGCAGCAGCGACGAGAACTGGGCGAAGGTGAGCTGCCCGTCCCCCTCCACGTCCACCGACGCGATCATCTTCTCGGCCTGCGACGGGCTGGTCGAGAGTACCCGAGAGTACCCGAGAGTAGCCGAGAGAGTACCCGAGAGAGTACCCGAGAGGACCCGAGAGGACCCGAGATTACCCGAGATTACCCGAGAGGACCCGAGAGGAGCCGAGAGGAGCCGAGAGTAGCCGAGAGGAGCCGAGAGTAGCCGAGAGGACCCGAGATTACCCGAGATTAGCCGAGATGGCCCGAGATGGCCCGAGATTACCCGAGAGTACGCGAGAGGACCCGAGAGCACCCGAGAGATCGGCCTGCGACGGGTTGGTCGACCAGCCGAGTGCACGCAGCGCCGCGGACAGCTCCATGGCGTCCACCTGCCAGCGTGGTCGCACCGCTGGCTGTGGCGGACGGCCAAACCGGCTCTCTCGACCGCCCAACCTTGTCCGCCGAAGCCTTAGAGCTTGAGTCGGCTCCCTCCAGAGCCATCTCTCCCTGCTACAGCCACCTCTCCAGCCACCTCTCCAGCCACCTCTCGGCCATCTCTCCCTGCTACAGCCACCTCTCCAGCCACCTCTCCAGCCACCTCTCGGCCATCTCTCCCTGCTACAGCCACCTCTCCAGCCACCTCTCCAGCCATCTCTCCCTGCTACGGCCACCTCTCCAGCCACCTCTCCAGCCACCTCTCAGCCATCTCTCCCTGCTACAGCCACCGAGCCCGACGAGCCGGAGTCGTACGCCCGGAACGCGCCCCACATCTCCTCCTCTGTCGGCGGCTTGCCTCGCATCCCGTGCGAGAAGAGGTGCTCGCCTTGTCGAAAGGCGGCCGAGGTGCGGCCGAGGTGCGGCCGAGGTGCAGCCGAGGTGCGGCCGAGGTGCGGCCGAGGTGCAGCCGAGGTGCGGCCGAGGTGCAGCCGAAGTGTAGCCGAGGTGCGGCCGAGGTGCAGCCGAGGTGCAGCCGAGGTGCAGCCGAGGTGCAGCCGAGGTGCGGCCGAGGTGCAGCCGAGGTGCGGCCGAGGTGCGGCCGAAGTGTAGCCGAGGTGCAGCCGAAGTGTAGCCGAGGTGCGGCCGAAGTGTAGCCGAGGTGCGGCCGAGGTGCGGCCGAGGTGCAGCCGAGGTGCGGCCGAAGTGTAGCCGAGGTGCAGCCGAAGTGTAGCCGAGGTGCGGCCGAAGTGTAGCCGAGGTGCGGCCGAGGTGCGGCTGAGGTGCAGCCGAGGTGCAGCCGAGGTGCGGCCGAAGTGTAGCCGAGGTGCAGCCGAGGTGCGGCCGAGGTGCGGCCGAGGTGCAGCCGAGGTGCGGCCGAGGTGCAGCCATGAAGAGGAGCCTTCTGTTCATCTCGTCGATCTCTCGTCCATCTCTCGGCCATCTCTCGGCGCATCTCTCGGCGCATCTCTCGGCGCATCTCTCGGCTGTTGGTCGCCGTCGGTGTCGACCAGCTGCAGCGTGCAGTGCTCGGCGCCAATGAGCTCGTGGCCCTCCTAGAGAGAAGGAACGGAGACCGCACCTCCCGAAGAAGGGCTGGGGAGGAGGACAGGCGCCCCCACCGTTGCAGGAGTCTTGCTACGGAGAGGGGGGAGGGCGCATCGCACACAGGGAAGGGAACGCCCCTCCTGCATAAGCGTCGAGAACAGCGTGCTCATCTCTCGCTGCCGCCGAAGCCGCTCGTTCTTGCCGAGGTCCTTGAAGAGGAGGGTCGTCATGCCGAGCAAGCAGCCCACGATCACGCCGCCCACCGCGCCCGCCATCCCCGCCAGCCGCACGCGCCGCATCCTCCTCTGTGAATCGGTCAGCTTCGCCGTGGGCAGGCCGGAGCGGGCGGCAATATGGTCGATCGTGTTGCCGAACAGTGTCCCGGACACGTCGGAGACGACCTGGCCGAAGGCTGCCGCGGTGAGGGTCGAGAGGCCGAGCGTGACGCCCAGCGTCGAGTCGATGTAGTCGCCCGCCTGGATCATGATCACGTTGTCCATGAAGCCAAAGCCGACCATCGGGATCGCCGCGTTCACCGCATGTCGGCGCAGCTGCCAGTTTGTTGGAGGAGAGAAGTCCTCATCGCGCACCCGCCAAGCATTCGGCGCGCGCGTACTCCTCACGAGCCTGCTCCACAGCTGCCGCTTGTTTATGCGGCACACGCTGCGCAGAGGTGCCGCCCCTCCGCGACGGCCGGCGATGGCAGCTAGCGAGAGGGCGCCGCCAATAGCTCGTCTCTGTGAGGAGACCGAGCAGGGCGCGGCAACGCCACTCGCCGACGACGACGAGGAGGCCAGCCCTGAGGACTTCGCGCTAGAAATCTGTCGCATCGCAACGATCGGCCGAAAAAAGAAAGAAATCCTGCCCTTGTGGCCCAAAACTTTTCTTCTTTCTTTCTTTTACTTACTCATAATGATTGTGCAATTTTCCAAACCGTTCTCAGAGTTCTTCCAAAGACCATCAAGTATGCATTCAGACAGTCTGTCTGGACGCTATCGCTTCTTACTGTGTGTCTTGTGAGCTTGTTTGTGTCTGTGTGTCGCTCGTGCGTGTCGTCATCATCTGTCTTGCGTCCACCCATACCGCGTTGGTGTCCAGTCCGAGCCTGGCTGTTCTTCACCTTTCTACCTACCTACCTTCTTACTCCCAGCTGGCAGCTCGGGGTTCGCTCGGTGGGTGGCCGCGTGATATAGTTCGACCACATTGGTGTCACCAAATGCCAGAACTCCTCGGCTCGCGCGGCAGAGGTCCTCACACTTGCAGAGGTCCTCACGACACGGGCGCTGGCACCCCCAAGGCAAACGAGAACAAGAATTTAAGCGCTCTCCAAGTGCTCCAAGTCGACAGTTTAAACATCCTGGGGACGGTCTGGGAACGAGTGATCACTCAACCACAGGACACACATGGAGAATAGGTCCTCATCACATCAGCATCAAGAGGTAATCTCGAGGAGGTCCTCAACAGGAGAGGTCCTCATGCTTGTACTGAGGTGCGTCTGTCGGGTTGAAAGCGGCAGAATCGCTGCACCCTCGCGTGGGCGGGGATTGCACTACACTGTGTTCTCAAAGGACATTAGCCGTCTCCCGGCATCCGCTCGAGGGCAAGAGGCGCGTGCATTGAGATTGACGACCAGCGCACTTCGCAGGACAACAGTAGCTTAGTCTTGTATGGTGTGCGATGATATTTATGCGGAACATGTGGTGCAGCGAGGTCCGAGCTTCGTAAACCTCGCCGAGGAGGCAAAGCTGAATCTCGCCAGCCATGCCACAGCGGCCGCGGGCGAGCGGGGCGTGTGCGCGCCACGCGCCGCCCAGGGTTCGTGATTTCACATGGAAACAGCGAATCGATTTCACTTTCACTTTCACTTCACATTTCATGTGAAACGAAATTTCACTTTTCCGAGCGAGTGTGAACGTATTTGCAGTCGAGAGTATCTCGACGCATTGGGAGGGCGGCGGCGGCGGCGGCGGTGTTCCCCCGTCTCTGCTCCTCCCCCGTCTGAGGCTCGCGTGGCTTCCTCCCTCCGTGCTCCCGCCGGCGGCTGGTTCTGCCGTACAAGGCCCCGCAGTTCTTCCGCAACGATCTCTCGGTGTCCGAGCTGGTCACCTCCGTTGCCCCATGTCAGGACCAGGGCTCCCGTCGCCGACCCGTGTTCACGGCTAATCTGGGTCAGCGCCCCCACCACTTCGTTCCCCACCAGCTGTTCGAGATCCGATGTGGGGCGGATCCCCGTCGGCAGAGCCCCGCCCCCTCCTTTTTTTCTTTTCCGGACCGACCGGGGAACAAGACCTGGTATGGGCTGGTGGAACTCCGGGCCTCCGTCCGCGACAAGCTCGAGACTGGTATGGGCTGGTGGAACTCACGGGCCTCCGTCCGCGACAAGCTCGAGAGGCTGGCTCTCCACCTTCTGTCTCCGTACGAGAGAGTGAGTCTGACGGAGACGGCGCTCATGGAGCAGCTCTGGCCTCCGGGCGGCGGGCGTGGACAGAGCGCAGTGCTCGTCTCGGTTGCTGATGGCAGAACCCTAGTCACCACCCGCCGCCCTGGCTGCCACTACTGGTGGAAGGTGCTTGCCGAGATCGCTGATGTTGCGTCGCGCGACCACACGCTCGCGGCTGAATTTGTGCTTCGCCTTCACGAGTCTTCTGTCGTGAGCCTTCGCAAGCGGGACAACGCAGCCGTCTCCGTGCCCGTATGTGGGTTCGACCGACGCGACGGATCCGCCGACGTTCCAGTTCCGCATTACTACATCATCCCCGACGAGATATGCAGCGACCAAAAGAGCCAAACGCCGCTCGTCGAGCGGAAGGCATCCATCTTTGCGCGCGACTCTTACTTTTGTGGTGAGACGCCTCGCCCCCTGCCTTGCCAACGCACGCACTTTGGCCTCATCTCGCGCAACGCAACAGCGGTGCGGGCGTCGGGGGTGGAGTGGGATGTGGCGGTGACAAACGCAGTCAAAGGTGGCGGCGCCTACAGCGGTCGTCTGGTGAGCAGACCACCGCGGCCGCTCATATCCTTTGCCGAGCACCGGTATCTGTTGTCAACGGACGGTTGGGTTAGCGGTGGTAAATTATCGCAGCTTCTGGCGACGGGCTCGGTAGTCCTCAAGCCCAGGAGCATCTCGCGTATGTACTTTGAGTATCTCCTGGAGCCAAACTTGGTTCGCTGACACACGCGCCTCACATATGCATATGCATATAGCACACCTAGCAATCTTGCCCCCAACGGAGAACCTACCCCACCGCCACCGCCGTGCACAGCACACCGACGCATCCTACGTATGCTCGCAGCATTTTGTTCCGGTGTGGGAGCATGGGCAGGGGCTGTTTGACGTCATCCCAAAGCTGCGAAGGCTCGAGCAGGAATCGCAGCGTGCTGCAGCCATCGCACGCAACGGGCGCGAGTTTGCCTGCAACGTGCTGACGCGTGAGGGGCGGGCTGACTTCTGGGGCGCCCTCCTTCGAGGGCTGGGGCGGATGCGCAAGTACGACATGGACCAATCTCTCCTATCCAGAAGGCTGCGGTGTGACTCCTACGGAAGCTCTGTGCCGGGCTCGACGAGCAGCGGACGTGGCGGCGCCCAGATACCACCTCTGAATCTGAACGGATCTTGCTACGCCTACGAGCTCACGCCGGGTGCCCGGGGCGACCAGGTGCGCGGTGCCACGGACGGCTTTTTGTCCTGTCTAAAGCGGTGGGAGGAGGGCGAAGGCGAGGAAGAGACCAGAAGGAAGTGGAGAGCACAGGAGGAGCGGTGTCGCAGGGCGATGGAAGGGCTGAAGTACCGATCGCAGCTCGAGGCGGTGAGGCAAAGTGCTGACTGCGACCCGCGCCGCTTTGACACATAGAGGAACGGCTCTGACCCTCTAAGCTCGATCCTCTATTGTGCAGTGTCAACAGAGGGCGCACGTCCACACACATTGCCATTGTACATTGACAAGAGTAAAGATACTACCCTGGCTCACCGTACACCGACCCGCAACACACCGGAGGCGGAGCGTGCGAGTGCGAGCGCCCGACCGTGGAGACGACGAAACCACGAATTAGAGTTGAGTACATCTCACATATTCGTTCTCATAAACGCGTCGATAAAAGCTCATCTGTCAGATCCTCTCATTTATGCCGCCCCTCTCGGCGGCAGCAGGGGGAGATCTGCGGGCACATCGTCTGCGGTGCCCACGGACCTGCACCTCGCCTTGGCGGCCCTCGCGGCATCCGCCTCGCTCAGGTTGGCGCGGGTGTAGGCGCCGACGGAGAGGACGGCGAGGGAGGCGCCGAGGATTGACTTGAGCGGGTAGATCTGCCCGAGGACGAGCCAGCCGCCGATGATGCCGGCCGACGACTTGAGCTGGCCTGCGCGGGCGCCAGGGTTGGTGCACTGATGTTAGCACACCTCAGGGCCAGCACTGTGCACACACTGTGTCGACCAGGTGGCACGAAGGACGGTGTTAGCAGATTCTAACACCTCGGCACAGGGGGCGTTCGCCGTCAACGTGCCAACACCGTTCTAACATTAGAGCGCAGGCAGGTCAGAGGTCTGAGACTGGGAGGGGCTCGGGGCGAGCAGGCAGGGAGAAGAGTCTGGGGAGGGGGGGAGGGAGGAGGCGTGGTTGGCCTAGGATGGTGTGCGTGAGCGCGGAGCAGGCGCCCATCACGAGGAAGCCCGACCAGTTGACGAGGAAGGCGCCGGCGGAGGAGGCGCCGAGCAGCGCAGCGCGCTCGACGGTCCACTCGTACCTACAAGGGAGGGGCCCGAGCAGGCTGTGGGCGGCTCCACGCCTGCCTTGTTCGTCTCCTCGGCGTGCCGGCTCGCACTGCAGCAGCCCCGGAGGGTCGACGAGCGGCACCATCGCCCCAATGACGAGCGTCGACCACGGCAGCACCGCTCGCATCAGCGCCAGCGTGTGCCACGGCTCGCCTCCCGCCTCGCCCTTGGCCACGCGCGACCAGAGCACTTTGTACGCTGCGGCGATCGGGACCTGTGACATGCCATGGGCGAGTCGCGGACGTGACTCGCCTGACTCGGGCAGCCAAAGCCGCGGCGAGCCGCGCCCAGCCCAGAGACGCGAGCAGCCCTGGGAGGTTGAGGCTGAAGTCGGAGACTGAGGCGGCGCCGACGCCGGCGCAGACGCCGGCGAGGCAGAGGCCGCGCACCAGCGAGACGCGCTTGCTAAAGAGGGCCAGCTCGAGCACCACGATGCACGGCGTCACCAGCAGCTTGCAGGTCGTGTAGAAGCCAACGTCGTTCAGCTTCAGAGCGAGGTTGTTGATGGCGGGCGCGGCGCCGACGACGACGGTGAGGACCGCAGTGCTTGTATTGAGCGGCAGCGGGCGCAGCTCGAACGCACCGCACAGGCGCAGCGCTTCGAGGCCCGCGATGTTGAGCACGTAGTGCGCCAGCGTGAGCGTCGTGGAGAAGCCAAAGTTGATCCGCGAGAAGACGGCCTTGTTAATCAGCACGATGCACACGGCAGCGGCAAAGTTAAAGCTCAGATAGACGGCGTGCTGTGACGTATCGGATCGCATATGGTCGTGGTGAGAGGAGCGTGGAGAAGTGGATGGCGCAAGTTTTTGATCTCCCGACATCGCGCCACAGCCTCTCTCGAGGCCTCGAGGGCTGTCCCCCCCCCCCCCCCCCCCCGAGGTGGATATGTATCCCACACCGCTCTCTCGAGGTTCTCGAGGTGGATATCCTTTGGCCGCGTTGGGTAGCGAGGATTGGTGTAACCCGAGCCACGGAGGCGTGTTTTCTGACGGCCGACCGCCAGTGCACGGAGTTGCCCCTTCTCCGACTGCCCCGCTGAGTTGGCAAGGTAAGGGGAATGAT